TTGCTGAACTTTCCCTCTGAACAAGGAACACAGTCGAAACAACACTCAGGTTCCCCTTTCTTGTGGGCCATACGAGTTCCTGGAGGGCAACTCTCACTGCACACTGACCTGGGGGGCTGTGTGATGACAAATATATCTGTTTTATTTTACATGTATTAAGGAAAAAGTAGGATAGCGTCTTTCAAGATGTGAACACTAGCCTGTTTGAATACAAAGTTCCAGAAGATTTTGTTTTCGTCAATCATGAGCTCTTCATCACTTTTGGCTGACCTCTTAACCTCACCAATATTTTGAACTTTAGTGCTTCCATCAGAAGCCACACCCACATGATGTCATAGATGGGTAAAGCATCACCGTTTTCATCAAATGAAACTTGATCACTAAACGATGTGGTAAAGTTGACTTTTTCCAAGTAAAACATGAGCTAGAGATAGACATGAGAGATAATGTTAACATACAATAAAGTGTGGAAATTTAGGCAAAACCACTTACCAGAATTAATGAATGAATTAAATAATTTTTAAGTAGCTATGGTCAAAATAATAAGTCTGCAATCAATGGATTAATTTCTTACATATAAATACAGAATACAGAAGACAGCTTTGTTTGCATTCGCCGGTTGTACGTATTAGATTAGGCTACATTCAATTTCTTTGGCTTGTGTTGTTTTGGTTTTTTTTTTTTGGAACTTTTTGCCTACCATTGTGGCTCTCAAGCGTAAGTCAGGTTATTCTAATATTTCTATGTCCAAGATTATGAGGTTACCACTGGGCTAGGGTAGGTGAGTGACATAGATACTTATGTCCAGTATATTAGCTCCAACTTATGTCGAAAATTGAGTTATGTCGCACTGTAGTAATGGAAGTCATTTTTATTTTTAAACTAATTTGGTCAAGATTTTTAAACTGCAAACTAAGGATTAAATGCTACAACTTAGTAAATAGTAAGGTGAGAAAAAGTAAAAATGTTAATGAAGAGAAAACTGCCAACACACCTGCCATGGTTCCAGTCCTTGTAATTGAGCACAGGTGTCTCCACTGAAAGGTCCTCTCCCTGGCTCACACTGCAGCATGTCATCAAGAGCATGTGCCAGAGCATACACAGCCTTATACACATTATACTCTGGTCTGAGGTCTGAAACATCAAAAAACTCTTCCTCCAAAACAGTCTCAATAACTTCCTGTCCAGTGCACAATTGTCCTCCAGTTTCAAGCCAACCTTCTGGAGGTGGAGCAAATCTACACTTAAAAATGTGTTCCCAGAACTGATTCACCTGGAAAACAATAAGGATGTTATGTTATTTCACAACATAATATAGACTGTAAAATAATGCTCTTGTAATAATAATAATAAACAAATAATGACATGACTGTTACTGTTAGGTTTCTCACCATGTTATATCCAGAAGTGTTGTTCTGTTTTGGGACAGGACGTATTTTCAACAGAAAATTTCTCAGGCCTGAGATTTCTCCTCGAGGGATAGCGATGCCCAGAGTTCCCCCGAGGTATGGCATGAAGTCTGAAGTCTGTAGCTCAGCAACTGAAGTCCAGGCTTCACTAGCCATCCACTGAAGGCCTGTCAAGTTCTGCCTAACAACCTGTTAATTTCAATATTACAAATATTTAAATTGTCCTGTGGCACTTATGCAGCACAGTTAAATAGCACTTCATGTTTATGTATGTGTGAAAACCTGTTGATTCTAATTTGTTTTACTACCAACTTTATTCTTGGTAAAATTTCACAGTGAATTTTAGACAAACATCAATTCTGTTTTTATAAAGTACTTTTTATCAGAACTCACCTCTGCCATTAGGTTGAGTGTGTGGCCTTTTACTGCAAAAACAATGACAACACTAGCAGTAGATTTCCTAATCACATTAACTATTCTATTCAGTTCAGCTCTGTTGTTTCCCAAAGGTAAAACTTCAATGTAAGCCAGACAACCTCCTGCAATTGGACCCAAGTCAGAGAGAAAGGCTCGAGCAGCATGGACTCCATAGTCATCATTGCTAATGAGCAGACCTGCCCACGTCCAACCAAAGTGTTTTAGAATCTGAATCATTGCACGGACCTATGTGGACACAGAAAAGAGGAGTCAGTTGAAAAGCTGTAATGGTTTTTAATAAAAATCATATATTTACCTGAAATGAATCACTGGGAATTGTCCTAAAAAATGATGGAAACTGTTCTTGGTCGCTTAGACAGGAACATGTGGCAAAATAACTGACCTGAGGAAAAACAGACACAACACGATTTTATTAGCAAATAATTCTTCTCTACAATGCATTTAAAGTTGAATGACTGTTACACTTACCAGAGGCACTCTGTACAAACCCACAACTGTGGAGATGGCAATAGAAGAGGTAGAAAAAGAATCACCAACAATCCCTAGGACTGGAAGACCTACACAAGTCTTCTCTGATATCATCTCTCCTGCTTGACCACTGATTAAGGACATTGCTGCACGGAATCCTTTTGCCAATTCATTGCAGTTATCATACAGACTGTATCCCAGAGTAACATTAGAGAGCAGGTTGGGGTTTCTGTTAATCTCATCAATAGCAAAGGCCATGGTCTGAGCCTGTCTGAATCCTGAAGGATGAAAACTAACACAATAATACAAATTAAAATGATAATGACAATAAGGTGTGTATATGTTCATATATGTATATTTATTTACATATGAAAACAAAACATGTACACATATATAGACTTTAAAAGCAAAATGCAAAGAAATGTTTAAATAAATAAGATGAAATTATTGTAGTTTTTCAGCCATACACTCACCCATAGCAGACAGACTCCTGTGGCTCTGAGGTAAAAGACAGGTCAGGAACAGTAGAAAAAACATTGACTGAAAACAATCCTCCTAGAATTACATCTCCTGTCTGGTGAATCCCATTCAGGTTGAACTGTCCTTGTAACTGACAGGTGAATGAATACAGAGAGGGAAATCTAACTGTGAAAACACAGACATAGATTAATACAAAACTCATCTCTTGAAATGATACCATGGCTTTTCTTCACTTCTCCCTTCCACCATGTGGTGGTGTATCACTGTGTAACACTATTTATTTGATTTGAGCTTCCCAACATGTTGTTTCACTGAGGCAATTTGATCCACCTGGGAGAGGCTTTTCAGGGCTGCACCTTGAAGGTGAATCAACATGATTCACTCTTCTATGGTTTGACAGTGATGTCTAAAAGGTCATCAGAGGTCATGCTCCTGTGCTTTTAAAGTAAATTTACAAATACTTCAATTCAATTTTACCAGTAATGTGTGTAAATGGTGAAAATAAATTTGTGGAAATTGAATTGACAATTTCCAATTTAAAAATGACCCGGATGACTGAGAACCCACACAGACTCTTCACAAGGGTTGGTTTAAACGGTGTTAAAGTCAACATCTGCTTGGTAAGATGGCAGATTTTACTGAACTAATCCCAATTCTCTTGGATAGTCATACCTCAATTCACAAGATGGTGTTTCACTCTGGTACAACTGACATCATGTCCAGGTTTTCTACTTAACTTCATTATGACCTAGAGTCTCTGACCGCTGCTGTTGAATGCCTGGGAAAGTCCAACTCCTACTTTAAGAAAGAACGGAAAGTGAACTTCTTGTTATTGTGACACAGCACACCACTGCACCCCACTGCACACAACAAAATGTGACCTTGTAGCAGGACGAAGAAAGCACAGGATTCAAGAGTGGCTTTGAACACTTTCTTATGAGAGCACAGAACAACTCTACTGTCTAACGACTCAGCGCGCCAAAATACGTATAAGCACCGTAACCACGCCCCCAGCCCACAGTCCTGTAGGGTGAGAGGCATCCCTTGTCATTCTTACCATTGTTGACAGGTTCAGCAAAATAGCTCATTTTGTGGATGTGGTTTCGGACCAAGGGGCCCCAGTTCACTTCAGTTTTCTGGAGAGAGTTCTGTTCACTGATTGGTGCTACCGTGAGTCTGTCCTCTGGGTTCCATCCTCAGTCTAATGGGTAGACCAAGAGGGGTTAGCCAGACTTTTAAAACAACCCTTCGCTATATTACATCTGAGCACCCCTTCGCCTGGTTTGAATGTCTTCTGTGGGTGGAATATGCATACAAAACCTTAACCAGTCCGGCAACAGGACTCTCCCCTTTTCAATGTGCCTATGGTTATCAGCCTCCTGTCTCCCCTTCTCTGGAGAGGGAGGTCACCTGCCCCTCTGTTCAGTCTTTTATTCGTCCATGCAGAAGGACCTAGTCCCGATCCCATATTGCACTGTTAAAAGCCAAAGGAAAATACACGGTCTATGTTATTCTCTGCTGGTCTAAGGCACCCACCTATGCCATGAGGCAGAGGGTGTGGTTGTCCACCAAGGATCTTCTTCCTCGGACTGGCTCTAGGAAGTTAGCCCCCAGATTTGTTGGTCCATTTCCTATTGAGAGAATCATCAGTTCAGTAGCTGTCCAGTTAAGTTTGCCTTGGACTGTGAGACTCCACCCCACCTTTCATGTTTCCCGGATCAAACCTGTTCTGGAGAGCCCTCTCTCTCCCGTCACACCCCAGCTGCCTCCTTGTCGCCTGAATGACGGGGGACTAACATGCACTGTCCGACACATTATCCACTCCCGCCGAAGAGGAAAGGGCCTCCAGTCTTTAGTGGAGTGGGAGGGGTACAGCCCAGAGGAGAGGTCATGGGTTCCATCCCGCCACATCCTAGACAAATCCCTGATCCGGGAGTTTCACCAACTCCATCTGGAACAACCAACACAACCCTCCCACCCTCTGCACATTCCAAGCAGGAGCAGCTTGGCCCGTTTTGATGGCAACTTGTTTGAGGAATACTGACTGTACCTCATACTCTCTGGGTGTGCTGGCTGGCCCCCTCTTCTTGTTCTTGGGATGTCAGGAGCTGTCTTTGGGGGAGGAGGATTCTGTCATGCTTGCTGCAGCGCAGCAATCAATAAGATCAACTTTACCTGTGTACACCATTCTCACTTTCAACTTCACCGGCTTTTACTGATGATCTGGCAGCGTATTTAAGTGGTGGCCACACTCTTCTCTCTGCCAGATCGTCTCATCATGTCATGGAGGCTGCATGTTTTCGCCTCGGTTAAGTTGTGGATTTCCTGTTTGATCATCATGACGATCCAGGTCATGCTGCTCTGCTTCTGAATCGGCCTGCTTCTTTTCTATCCAGAGGGAATCTGCCACGGTGGCATCACTCCCGAGGGAGTTCCCAGTCTAGAGCAAGTTGTTACGCCACTCGCTGGGATCCAAGCGATCCAAAATTACTTTTATTAAAGAGACTTTCATATGTTCCGAATGGAGACTCCTTTGTTTAAGAGACATTCCTATACTCCAAATGGAGAGACTTCCTCTGCAGACAAAAACATTTTGTTTTTGACTGCTCATTGGCTGCAGTAACCTTTGTTGGATTTCTGTTTGTGTCTACTGAATTACCACAGTAAACTGACTGTAAAACAAACCCATTTCCTTCTTTATCTCCGTGTACTGTATTTATATCCAAGCCTGTAATTCCTGACAAGCAGGCTCATTCGCGGACAACCCATCACTGTGGGGTTGAAAAGTTCGATAAATTGCATACCAATAAGTATCATATGTTAGCAGCTGTGACTGCTAACATATGATAAAATAAACTACTCTATTTTGGGACAAAAATGAAATAAATAGGTTTTATTTCAAGCTTCAACAGCACCACATTCTTCATATTTAGAATTGCAGTTAAAAATGAGCAAACTAAAATAAAATGCATTTAAATAAGGTATTCAAATGTATTTTCCAAATCCACAGTGAGCCACAACAGTGAGATGAAAAACATGCGGTGGTTTCTGATGGTTTCACAGGATGAATGTAAGTCAAAGTGGTGTCCCTCTAAGCTATTTTTTTCCCTATTTACCATTTTATAATATGCATTTGATACAAGAGCAAACTCCACAATTACCTTCGCTAACACAGTGGTAACTTAATAATATAGGATATAAAAAGATCGAAAGAGTCTGGCAAATGAAAAGTAAACTGTCTTCTGCATGTAGTGCCGCATGACGACCCATTTGTCCACTCTGCTCACCAAATAGTTACCATGGAAAAAGTTGGTGAGTTTTAACTCTGTATGCTGGAATGACAGAGACGTATTCACAAAATGCCATAGATCAAAGACGCCATAACTCGAGGACCCTTGTATATATTATATTTATTTTAAATTGACAAACAGCAAATTGTTATGAACTTTGTACTCCTAATTATGTAATATCAGTATTGCACCATTACAGTATGTTACAATTGATTATTGTCTTTGACCCATTATGGCTTTCTTTGTGTTTCTCTCTGGTCTAAATAGGATTATATAACATTTGGGTCCAAACAGTGCCACCAGTAGGCCAAAACTAGAGGCAAGAATGGCAAATACCTCTACGGCATCTGCATATTTGCCTGGTGAGCTGATATAGGCAGGAACAAAGGCCACCCACACTGCACAGAAAATTAGCATGCTGAAAGTAATGAGTTTAGCTTCATTAAAGCTGTCTGGAAGATTTCTTGCCAAAAAAGCTAATAAAAAACTAAGCACTGCTAGTAAACTAATGTAACCAAGCAAGATTCCAAAACCAATAGTTGAACCAATGACACATTCATACACTATCTTGTTACTGTAATACTGAGTGTTTTTATGTGGTGCTGGTGAAGCCAAGACAAGCCAGACAGTGCAGATTACAGCTTGAAAACATGTCAGAACAAGAACTGTTCCTCTTTGCTGAACGGCACCAAACCACTTTAAACTGGCCTCAGCTCCTGGTTTGGAGGCCTTGAAGACAGCAAGGACGACCATTGTTTTCACAAGAATACA